CTTATGCTTTTCTGCTTTTCTTCAAAAATTCTCTCATATTCCACTTTTTATTGGTCATTTGTATTATTTAACGTAAAGTGTTTGGTTGTTGACTAGGTTTCATAAGATAGAGCTTCTTCATGCATGAACATTATGCTTGATAATTTCAACTAGGGCGCTTGATGAGATTAGTTCTTCGTACGACGTGTTTCTTCATTCAACGGCCGCGTTAGGAACTTATTCGTAACGTTTCCTTCAGCTGAGTGGAAGAACCATGATTGCTTCCACTTAACTCCTCGGAACGTCAATGCAACGCAACCTTTCATGTTTCTCTCCCGAACCAATTACTCTTCTTGAATTAAAAACCAGTTGCTCATTTTTCGCATTTGATTTGCATGACGTCTCTGGTAATTGAAGATTTTGGCCACAAATGAGTTTCCGCCCTCTTGTAAGGCAAGTTTTTAGTGGCGATTTTTCGGCAAATCAGTTTCATAAACTGACATATGGTATAAAATATTTGCTCTCGGGATTCAGCAGCCTTCTGACAAAAACCAACTCTGTAGTTTGGGAAGTTGCATCTTTCTGAGAATCTGTGAAGAATTCAGCTTCCTGTGCGCAACAAACAGTCTTTTCACCTTCAGCTTTGTTCAGTGCCGACAGCAAAACTTTATATTTACAAACAAATGTCATTCTGAAAGATTTTTTAATAAGGAGTAAGACAAACTTTAAATGTCATTTAAGTAAACATTGTTTTCATTGCTTTCAAACCAGTGCATATTAAAAGGCAGCGTTAAGTGAAGGTGTGACACTTAACAATTGTTTTGTCTTTGTTTCAAGCGTTTACGTGAATTTTATCAGTAATTCATGTTTCTTTATACAAGGTTCCGTAACTGTGAGCGACGGACAAAACTATTTGTTTATTTCCATACTTCGTCGTTTCTGAAAAGCGCCACGATGTTCTTTTTTACGCCATCTTTGAAGAAAAATGGCTTTATTTTTTTGAAATATTGTTAAGTGACCATAGATTGTTATTGGGCACTAATTCCGCAACTCAGTCTATTTTGGGACTTTCAGGTAGTCTAATAGATTGTAGATGAAACTTTCCTGTCATTGTTTGCGAAATATTTTGTGTAGGAGTTTATTCTATTATAAATCTGACTGAAATGTTGAAAAGGTAATTGCCTTACTTAAATTGTGTCTAAAATTTAAAAGAACCTTCGGCTTCTTTTTTTGGAATAACAAAGTATATATGCTCTAGTTTTTGCGCTACATACTGGCTTTTCTTTGAATATTTGAGGGAAACTTTCTATGGGAGGAGCTGTTTTTCTTAATCCGCTAAGACTTCTGGTTGGTTCTACAGCAAAGCAACTTTAGAATTTTTCATGAAGACCTGTAAAAAGTGTATTTCCCACTCTTAATTGATGGTTTCAAAACGTGCGTTCTCAGACAACATTGCTATTCTCTTCATATAGCAATATTTTAAAAAGTCTTCTGCAGCAATCAGACAAAAGATGTATGCTTAAGCAGATTCTGTAATGACGGGCTGTACTCAATAACTTTCCTCGTTTTTTTTTTTTTTTTTTTTTTTTTTTTT